CGGTGCTCACTGTTGATCTTATTTCTAATACAATTTTCATAATAGCAAATCTAATATTTTTTCAGGTAAAGCTGATGTGCACTCAGCCTTTAATTTTCAAAACTTTTCTGTTTGTTTTCTCACATAGCTGATGAATAGTCCTCAATGGAGTAAAAAATGAAGACAATTACTTGGAAGACAAAAGGATATATTTAGATTGCAGTCTGTAGAGTAGTATAAGAATACAGACAATAGCTTTAAGTAATGGTTTGGTAGCTAAAATGAGTCCATCAGCAACACAGCCCTTTACTTGAGTCAATTTAATCAGCAGAACTGAGACTACTTCAGCTCAGTCACTACAGGGAGGACTTTCCTGAGACATTCAGATTCTTGGTGTGTTTGGGACATGTGACAGATTTATCATAAAGATGTCAGAACTAGTAGTGAAATAAAAATGATGGCTTCCTAATGATTCTGTTATATCCACTGCTTCAAATAAAGAGTAAAACTACAGATATAAACTTCACTTTACTTAGGGCAATTTAATTAAGATTCTTATCTTGTTCCTAATTAAGGAATCAGTGAATTTTCTATGGGAGAATGAACCTTTTTGAAAAATTAATGAAAAAATACGATGGAGAGGGTAGTTTTAAAAAGTGTGGGTTTCTTCTGCTGCTGTATTTTTCATGTATTTTATTAAATGAGAATGTTTTGATAAAAGCTTTCAGCATTGTTTTCTATTGAGAAAAATATTGATGCACTGAGACCAAATGTGGTGTGCATTCATATTTCATGACTGCCATTATACCTAACAAACTATGTAAAACTGTTTTTTCATATTTTGTTTTCTCATATTTTACTTATTTTACCAACAGGATAAGTTGTTGGAATGGTTTGTAACCTCATGTCTTCTGAAGATGAAATACTGGATTATTACACAATTCAACATTATGGAAACTCCATGCCTGGTGATATTTGTGTCACCAATGACAGAACAGAATTGATGATAAGGTAGATGGTTAATTTATTTAGAACACATCAACTGAATTTCGTGGTAGGTTTCGTGGTTTTTGCCTGTGTTCTATTCTGCAGAAGCACTTTTAAAAAATTATGTCTCTAATCTCACTTTGTAAATAACAGTAAAAAATATTCTCTTGTTTGATTCCAATGTAGAGGTAAGAAACTTGATGCTATGGATGAGCAAAAGTGTAGGCTCTGCTGTGGTTACTCAGTGTTCAAAGAGAATCTATTGATAAGCACAGTTCAGTACAATTGTTTGTGCTTGATAATATCAGAAGCAAGACTCTTTCAAGTTACTTCCCCTGGGAAGTTCTGTATCTATTACTCTCACCATATTACTTTTGCATATTTTTTAGCAGTATTACTTTGCTTTTGTAAATCTTTTCAAAGTACAAACATTCTGTAGTCAAGCCAGTCTTCCACTAACAGAAATGGAAAAAACCCCAAATGAATAAGATCAATCACTAATTTGATTACTGTTGTTTCATTCAGGTTCCGTATTTGAAGATAGCCATTTTATCAGCTCAGATACCAAACTGTAGTAGATTTGATTGGTCAGTATAAATTTTTAATCCATTGTATTGACAGTCAAAATGAGGAAAGTAATAAATCTGCATTTTTTTAGTGAGATAATACATTTGAGCTATTATTGATGATTCTTTAAAAATCAGTCTTGTCAATTTACTTCATTGCAAGAGTTCCTTTTCATTTTTCTTTTAGAAGCATAATAAATACAGCCAAAGATATGTTTCTTTATCTTCTATGGTAGAAAATTATGAGGCAGTACATGCAAGTCTGATAAAAACAAGAAAAGAAACACAGAACAAGGGTCAAGAGTATAGAAGAAGGAAGGGATACACTGTGATACATACAGGTAATATAATCAAGGTTAATACCAACAAAATTAAAGATATTTAATTGGTGGTTTGGGTATATAAAAAAAAAAGTTAGTGGTCAAAAAGTGTCAGGTAAACTGTAGCAGGCACAAATCCCTGTTTTAGGAGCTTACAGCATTATCCTTGGGATTGCTGCCTCTCCTCAGAGGAAGGCTATGTTGGTTTCCTCCATGCTGGACAGGAGCAAACTGACAGATGGCTCTTAAAGGGCAATTTCTAGAGGGTATAGAGAATTAAGGCCTGAGCAGCCTGCTGGAGCAGGAAAGAATCTGAAAGGGCACCAGGATGTGCACCAAGCTGCAGTTACAGCAGCTTTTTAAACAGTTGTTTTAATTACAAATAATTTTGGCATACACATCTGATGTCCATTCTAGTTACTCAGCATGAGGTACAAGAAACATTGTGGCAAAGGTCAAAGTAAAGAGACTCAGAGCATGAAAAATACTGTGAATAGCATGAAAACAAAGCAGAATGAAGAAACAGGAGCAGTCAGCACAGAGCTTAATTTCTAAACAAAAAGATCCTGTACAGGCACAGAAGCAAACACCAAGTCTATACTGAGAGCTGCCTAAGGGAATAAAGATGAAAAAAAATGAAGGCAAAGTTTTTGGTACTATCTTGCTGGGGAAAAAAATAAGTGATACCACCTCCAGGAATAATGTCTGAAGCACTAGCACACTCATGTGTGTCTGTTGAATGCTAAAGCATATGAAAGACTGAGACTGTAAAGAAATAAAAGCCAGAAGCAGAAGAAATAGATCCATTACAAAATGCACTCAAGCAGGCTAAGGGAATCCAGAAGGCAAACCAGAGACCAATCTCAAAAAGTGAACTGTGCTCTGTATTACATGGCATATAAATCGGAGGGAATAATGGCCATTCTTTTGGAATATTCCAATGAGTTTGTGAAACTGAGTCGGCCCTAACTCAGTGCTATCTCTGCCCTGGGATGGAAAGGCTGCAGTATGACCTGAACACCTACAATCAAAGAGTAACACCTGCAGTGTGACTGTAGTTGATCCAAACATTGCCCACACACTGCAGCAGACGGCATGTGACACGAGACTGATGAGATTGCAGCTCTGCTTTTACATCAAGAGCCAGCTAAACCTTCCAACAGAAGCTGCAGTATTGACTGGCCAGTGGGCTTAAACTATTCTGACTATTGGTGAAACATAGTATTTTATACATCTCATGCCCTAGAAGTGATCTTTCATGTAAGGAAAATTTGCTACAGTTCTTAATTGCTCAGCACAAGTAGCAGATGTCTGCTTGTACAGTCCATAGGTGATAACCTGTGTTTACATCACTCCAATGCTACATGACAGAATTTTTTTTCTATTTCATTTTTTCTTATGTAGCATCTCATACACAGTGACCTTAAAAGAATACTATTAAAACTACAAAGTCAAGTATTCCAGAGAATGACAAAATTAAGGTCACCTGTCATAAAAATTTCAGAAGGCTCAGGAGTTTTTAAGTTAATAGGATGCTTTCAAATTTTCTTCACAGAAAAGATGTTCATTACTTCTCATGTCAGGAATGTTTCTTGGTAAACTGAAGTTATCTTTCAGTTAACATTTGACCTTAGTTTTTATTCAGCGCGAACACTGGGACTTATGCCTGGTTTAAAGACGCATCATCAGGATACAGCTGATGACATTATTTCCATGGGAAAAGCTGTTGACCAAAATGCATGATACCAAAGGATGAATATTAGTAATAAATGCAAAGAGCAAAGAACTAAGCTCAACAGAAAGAAGTTCAAAGTTTGAGATGTTCTGTCACATGTTATCTGACCATTTGCACATGTGAGCTGAAAGGTAATGAGGAGCTATCCAAGTGCATTAAATCAACTCACCAGTTTGTAAAACTGCATGAGTCCATGCTCCAAAGGATAGCTGCCTATCCATCAGAATTACTGACACATCTTGAACACATCTGAGAATGATCAGACCTAAGTGGAAGCATTTGAAAGGGAAATCAAGGAAAAAGCTTAAGCTTTTGAAAGGGAAACCAAGGAAAAAGCTTAAGCTTGGCCCTAGTCTTAAATTCATTTAGTTTTCTGGAGCCAGAAGATAAACAGGGCATCTTACAAACAGGCACCAAGGGACACATGTCCACAGCACTTCTCAGTAGGCTCACACAGAAGACGTGTTCAGGCACAACAGGAGCTTGTGGCCATAGTCTTCAAAAGGAGTAAGTTCATTAGCTTTAGGCACAAAAAGGCCATCTGAGTACAAGTGATTATTTTTATCAAGGAAACCAGTGATGCTTTCAAACAGCAAATGTGACGTTATTGAAATTCCAACATCAATATGTGGAACTATGCTTCTATCTGAGAAAGTCATTACTGATCAGAAGTACACAAAGCAGGAAATAGCCTCCACGGTTCAGGGCAGATTTTGAACCTTCAGTAATGGAAAGCATCAGGCAATTGAGCAAAGGTGGCGACAGGATGAGTTAGTGGAAATAAAAGAATCGTATCAAGTGGTTCAACAGATTGAAATAAAAATCTGATGAGTCATTGGCTCTGAGGGGTGTCAGAGCCAAAGGCTAGGCTATAGCAAGGCATCTTGACAAAATACCTACTTTCAGATCCCCCTTCTCATCCCACCAAAGGTGGTCCCCCTCCACCAAGGCAGCTCTGCCCTGCAGCCACCAAGGCTTGAGGCCACCCTCGGCCCACAGTTCAGCACGGCTCCCCACCCCCTGCCCTTGTAGTAACTTCAACAAAGCCCAGTGGTTTCAGCACGGTTTGGTAGGCAGTTGAGAGAAACAGCTGTTGTTACACCTCCAGGAGCCTCCCATGCTAAAGGTGAGAAGTGAGACCAGTGTTTTCTCCTGCAGAGAACTGGGGATGAGCCTCTTTAACCAAGGAACAAGCGACAGAACAAGAGGAAATGGCCTCAAGTTGTGCCAGGGAAGGTTTAGACTGGATATTAGGCAGCATTTCTTTCCAGAAGGGATTGTTGGGCGATGGAACGGGCTGCCCAGGGAGGTGGTGGAGTCCCCATCCCTGGAGGGGTTTAAGAGTCGGGTTGACAGCGCTGAGGGATCTGGTGTAGTTGGGAACTGTCAGTGTTGGGTTGATGGTTGGACTGGATGATCTTCAAGGCCTTTTCCAACCGAGACGATTCTGTGATAGGACCGCCAGCCTGTCCAGGGGCCGGCAGAGGTCAGAGTCGCGCTGCATCACACCTCACAACAGAGCCACCACGAACAGCTCAAGACAATGGTACGATCTGCTGTCGCTGCCGCCTCAGCTCTGCAAAAACGGAATTTAATAAAGCTCCGATACGTGGCTCAGAGCGAGGTCACTATTCCCCAGCCACCGGGAAAGCGAAAGGCAGCGGCACCCCTGCCCGCTGCGGTGCGGAACGTCCCGGGCACGGCGGAGCTCGCCCCGCACGTGCGGCGTGTCTAAAGTTAAAGCCTTTTAACGGGTGTGTGGATCCCGGTCTCCGGCTGCGCCGTGAGCTGCCGGCAGCCGGTGCCGGCTGAGGGCGTGTGCGGAGTTTCCCGGTTAAAATCCAGGGCGGGGGGTTGGGCGCTGTCCCGGGCTCGGTGGCCCGGTGCCCTTCTCGCAGGTGTGAGGCATGGACACACGGAAGGGCCTACTGTTATTTTTCTCAAGTGGGAGTAATCTCACGTTTCAGTTACTATGTTTTTAGCACAGTGCCTGCACTACATATGGAGTGGTGTTTGCCTTTCAATTCTGCCTTATTAACAATTTGTTATACTCGAAGTTAATTACACATAGAACAAAAAATAGCCAATAGGAATATTTTTAGAGTCTTTGGATTACTAATTAAACTGTAAATAGTTTGCTACTTGAAGGACAGAATGCTTCACGTACATTTTAACAAGCGGTTTTTCTGTTCCTGCGTGTGTTGTATGAGACCGCAGGCATCAGCCCAGTACCCCTCAGAGAGTTACAGAGTCTGATTAAGAATCAACAAATCTGCATCCTTGTCCTGTGCGACTTGTTCCGTTACCTCTGGGATGTGTTATGCCCTTTCTGTGTCCTGACTTATACTGTTAAAAAAACAGGGCCCTCTACTCTGCAGAGCGTGGTAGGAACTATGGATAACACAGATAATAGAGTAGGTGGTTGTCACAGCTCCTGATTTTGGAAGATAAATGTAACGACCTGGAATTTAAAATGAGTTAAAATTGCAGATTCGCTTACTTTCTTTTGAAAAGACGAGGACAACAAGAAAACCAAATTAATTCAAGCTTGGATAAATTCCAGCAGGGACAGGGAAGAGATCTTATCCCTGTACTCAGCACTGGTGAGGCCGCACCTCGATTCCTGTGTTCAGTTTTGGGCCCCTTGCTACAAAAAGGACATTGAATGACTCAATGAATTGTCCAAAGAAGGGTAACAAAGCTGGTGCAGGGTCTGGAGCACAGGTCGTACGGGGAGCGGCTGAGGGAACTGGGGGGGGTTTAGTCTGGAGAAGAGGCTGAGGGGAGACCTCATCGCCCTCTACAGCTCCCTGAAAGGAGGTTGCAGAGAGCTGGGGATGAGCCTCTTTAACCACGTAGTAAGCGATAGGACAAGGGGTAATGGCCTCAAGTTGTGCCAGGGAAGGTTTAGACTGGATATTAGGCAGCATTTCTTTCCAGAAGGGGTTGTTGGGTGTTGGAATGAGCTGCCCAGGGAGGTGGTGGAGTCCCCATCCCTGGAGTCAGGTCAACAGCGCTGAGGGATCTGGTGTAGTTGGGAACTGTCAGTGCGAGGTTAACTGTGGGACTAGATGATCTTCAAGGTCTTTTCCAATGTAGCTGATTCTGTCATTCCTTTTCTTATTAAGAAAGAAACTGTAGGTCAGTACCTCATTTTGTTCTCAGAGTGTCCTTTGGAATAGAGATGTGGGGGGGGTTGAACTAAGCTGCAAGTGACTAATAATTATTTCTCCATTGTTATTTAGCAAGTTTTGGGGAAGAATTTGGAGCAATTAACTTGCATGAAATGTGCAAAACGGAGTAAGCAAAACTACCTTTCTTCAAGCTTTTGTAAGGTTTACTCAGTGTTAATGTGAGGTAAACAGATGCATTGGACACTTTTGTGGAAACAACAAAATTAGGAGTGGTCATTTCTTTCATATTGCTGAAGAAATCTAATAGTTTCTCCATCTTTCAGGATCAAGCAGAACAGTTCTTCAGAAGTGGACATACAAATAACTGGGCAGTTTTGGTAAGCATGGTCCAGGTTGTTTTCTTCCAATAAAGTTGACAGTTTTTCATCAGGAGCCATAATTGCAACAGTCACTCAAGAATTCTGTTCATCTGAAAGAAATATAAAGATAAAGACTTAGAAATGAATAAATTTGCAATTGTGCCTGCAGATTTATTACACTATAATAAAATTATCCTTTCAATAAGACTCCATTTCAAGTGCTCAAAACATCTAGCTACATGGCAGGATTTATAAAACAAAAGTTCTGTCAGCATTAAAATAGTTAAATTACCATACTGCATATTGAACAAAATTTTAATTCTCATATCAGAGAAGTATATCTCTTTGACCAGGAAGGAACCATTTATTTCTGATTTTTGTTCTTACTCAATCTGTTAACTTGTGATAACAAGCTTAGAATAAAATAAATTCAGGCAACATAATGTTTAGATCAACTGTTCTTATCTTTTTTTTTTCTTTGCCATGAGTCTTTTATTAGCTTTGAATCATGCTGCACAATTAATTCTTATTCACAATTCAGATCTTAATGACTAATTTGTTTCAGAACACTATTGTAATTACTCAGTAGCAGCTGTTTGTTTTCCAGATACTAAATTTGAGCAATATAAAAGGAAAGTTAACAGTAATTAATTGAATTAGAAGGAATAATTTCTGTATTCTACAATGTGCAAACTTGAAATTCTTAAAATATTTACTACTTTAATACTACTAACAAATAGGTGCTTTTATTAGTATGCATAAAACCACACAAATAAGGTGCAAAATTAGGTCCAAGGAGCTATACTTTCTATTCTCAACAGATTCTCTGCTGGTTATACATTTTCAGTAGTTAATGACTAAGGTTTATAACAATTGCTGCTAATTTTTAAAGCAGGAAAATAGGATTTTGCTGCTATCAGGCACCTCAAGCCTGGGAACATACCACAATCCTACCTCATCTGTAGTATGAGTTAATGTGCTGCAGTGTGAATAGCTGTATTTAAAGCATAGACACATTTTTCACTGTGTTGTAAGGGAGGTAATGGAGGAAAGGGATGGCCAATAATACCTTGAAATGTCACAGTGAGATTGGCCACAGTTAGTTTTCAGAGCTTTAAATCTCGCTGAAAGGCAAATGTTCTCATGGGCTGATTCCTGTGGGATTTTTTTTTTTTTAAATTCATAACTGACAGGATGGTTGAGACACAAGGGAATCCTTTCAGGCTGAATTTTTATTATTACTTAGGCTAATACTCGTTTCATTTTATGAAAAGGCTAGAGGAAAAGATGTTATATAGTGTAACTTAAAGATGTTTCTCTTTAAATTAGAGCTGTACATTTAAAGCTGAAAAATTAAAAAACTGTATTTAATGCTTGTCCCTGCTTCTCTGGTCTTGTGATGCTGAAGTCACCTCTTTCTAAAATGCTTCTTCCTTTGTCTGTTTGAAAGACTTATAAAAGCAAAGGAAATTTGTTTCCAAAGGCGAATTGCTGTCCATGGTGTGGAACAAACAAAAAGTAGTGAACTGAGGTTAAACAGGAGGACAATAATAGTAGGGAACTTCACTGGATTGCCTCTGAAGGTTTTTGAAATCTCATTGGTTTGAGGTTTTTGAGGACAGATTAAATGATATCTGACCTAGGGAGTAGTTTAAGTACAGGAATGGCTGATCCCCAACCCTTTGCCTGTTAGAACAGAACCTGAACTCCTTTGAGATTTTTGAGAATTACTCTATTTGAGAATTACTCTATTTACTCTATTTTATTTGACTCCTTAAGTGCAAATGTCCTCTGTGTATTTTCCCCTGTGTGTGGCTTCTGCTGGAATTCACTTGTGCATTTGTGCAAGAATGCTCCCAGAATGGGTTTGCTATTGAGATGAGAGCTCTTCCTTTGATTTTTTTTTTTCTTCCATTTGATATGGAGAAACCAAATTAAAAACTTTAGCTTATCCACTATTGCTGAATTGTTCCCTAAAGTGTCACTTTCTATACTTAGTTGGGTTTTATGACAAATTTTTCATGAGTCAGTATGTTAAGAACTTTTTTTTTAACTTTTATTTTCAGCATTTGTTGCTTTGGTACAGCAAAGATTTATATAGCTTATCACGAGTTTCTTGGTGTTGCTATGTTCTTTCTGATTTGTTACTAGTTTGTTGATATTCCTGTAATCATGGTCTGATGCAATGTGCCAGGCCCATTTGTATCTTTTACACTATTTAATATGCCTTGTTGTTGTTTTTTTTCCAAGGTGTGTACATCTCGATTCTGGTTTAATTATCGTCATGTGGCAAACACTCTTTCAGTATACAGAAGTGTCAAGAGACTGGGCATTCCTGATAGGTGAGGGAATCTTGGTGAATAAAATTCCTTGCAAATGTGCTATTAAAGTTCTCTTGCTGTCTGAAGCAGTACAAAAATTTCTCTTCCCAATTCAACTGGATAAAAGTAAAAATGAAGGATGCGATCACATCAGTGTGTTGAAAGGTGTGGCAATATTGTTTAAAAGGAAAAGCAACAGGTTATATAATAAACCTTCCAGTTGGAATTGACTAATTAGATTAAAAACATGAGGCGCTATCTGGCCACTAAAATGTACCACTTAGTAAATTGGTGAAAGCATAATGTGAAGTTTGATAAATGCATTCAGCAGTGGCAGTACTACTCTGAGATATGGCTTTTGCTGTACTTCAATTTTCTTTCAGTGTGGAGACATTAGTAACCCTAACTGCATTAAAATGTAAGACTTCTGCAGTTACACTGAGAGTCTCTAAACTAAAGGCCCTGAACAAAGCAGCTCCTACATATTGAAAGTAGCCTTGAAAAATCCATTTTGCGTAATGTTTTCAGAGAAACCAGAAGCTTCGTCCATACAAATGTACTTTTCTAATGATAACATAATGGTTAAAATAGCATCTCTTCTTTGACAACAGGATTAGGAAGGTGAGCAAACTGTTCTGAAGTGCTTTTTAGTTGTGTTCCTAATGATAGTTCTAGGGGTATTAGCACAGTTCCATCCAGCTGTTTTGGAATGAAATTTACTTGTACCAGAACTGTGGAAGTGAATTTTAGGCACCAACATCCATTGAAAGATAAGCTGTATGTATCCATAGGACTGGTAGTTTCTCCAGCATATCTGCTTAAAGATGTACAGCCCACTTCATCATTGCAAAATGCTCATTCTGCTAGATTAATTTTGTACTGCATTTTTGTCCAAGTCCAAAATTACAGTATCAGGAATCCCCACTTAGCTTCCACTCAACTGTGAATGCAGTGGAAGTATCATCCTGTTTCCTGTGTTTATTTTTAAAAATAGAAAGAGGGACTTACTGGTTTTTGAAAGATGCAATGGGATGTTGAAGTCTAATTCTTGGAGTCTATACATCCAAGGGAAGGTACTGCCTGAGCACTGTGGGCTAAAAGCCACAGAAATATGGCATCTTTTTTGCACATCTCATTCAGAAGCATCTATGTTCTCTCCTATATAGCCTTTGAAGCAGAGGCACCCTAGGCACTGCCTTAGAAATTCCTTCACTAGTTCTGCGCTTACCTGAGAACTTTCATCTTCTATGCGTCCATCCACCTTCACCATTAAGGTCATAGTAGATGGCAGTTCTAGAAATACTGCAAAAACTACAGCATGGCTGGAGATTTTTGTTGTTCAGTAGCCTGATTCATTTCTTATCCATACCCAAAAATCTGGAAATTAATCTCAAAAAGCCAGCAATGCTTTAGACTAAGGTCAAGAATAAGACATTGGAGAAGACCTAGAGAGAGAGAGAGCCTATTTCTTCTCATTTGCAGCAATTTTTACATAGATTTCTGTGGGGTTTTCCCTTAGACAAACCTCTACCTGTTTGGTGTTTTTTTTTCTTTACTATAAAACTTCATTAAATAACTTGGTAAGACTCAAAAAAACCACCCCAACACCAAATCACATCTTAAAAATAAACATCAGGATTATTGAGGTTTGTTGTTTTTAGAGAGGTTTGTACATAGCATCATTTTGAATGGAATTGTGTCAATTTGGAGATTTAAATATATTTATCCTTCAGCAAGAGAACTTATTAGGAAAATGATTTGTGGTTTTATAACTGTAAGTTGCTCTGGTTTGTTGACATGTGGGCACAATGCTCTAATTTGTAAAAGACAATTTTTGCTAAAATCCAAAATTAATCTAGAAATTCTCTTTCATTCCATTATTCATTATTTGGTATAAATTTTATGTCATGAAAATGGCATTAATGTATTATGTGGTTAGATTACTTTGGTTTAACAGTTAAGCTTCAAGTTAACAACTAGATTGTTTTGCTGCACGTATGAACCACTTGTACACAGTGGTTCTGTTTAACCATAGGGTATTTCATATGCTTTTAAGAATGCCATACAGTATATAAACTTCGCATGTTTGTGCTCATCGGTCTGTACTGCTACTGTGCAGAGCCTTTTACTGAGTGTGTGTGATTATTAATCCTTTTTTTTTTTTTTTTTTTTTTTTTTTCCTAGCAAAAATACAGTGCTAAACTGTAGGCCTAGTGATGGCTTAGTCTGGAATATTTGCTTTTGAGTATAGTACAAAAAATGTGTTTGCATCTGACTATCTCAGTAAATCTGCAAGACATATATTCAAGACTTGCTTACAACTAATTCTCTTTTAATCATATTCTTTTATAAAAATAGTTTTGCACTGCTGTGCACGTATGGAGAAAAGAAACTCGATTTGTCTTCTGTAGTTGTTCTCCTCTGACTTCTGTCATTACAGCTTCATATTTAGGCCAGCATTTTATTCCCACTGAAATAATTTATTTTGATTATTCTTGAGGATTTATGCTTATGTTATTTTGGACAACATATCTTTTTGTTTCTTTTTGTGTGTGTGTGTGTGCTGTGTGGAGTGTATCAGCACTTGATAAAGAATAACTTTACTCTTAAAGTGCTCATGCAGAGATACAGGTGAATGATGACAAACACAGGGATGGTGGGACACAATTTAGTTTATAACTGGGTGTTTGAGAGTCTGAATTAGCAGCGTTCTTTGCAGGATACAGAGCTTTCCTTTTGTAAGCATTGTTTGGTAGAACACAAAGATCACTGTCTAGGAGAAACTGTATTCAAGACAAGGTTATCCAAGGAAAGGACTGACTTCACCTTGTTCTAGATGTCTTTGGCACATTCTTCCCAGTGCTAAGTCTCCAGTGACTACTTGTTTATTTCATATTTTGACCCAAACCTGACCCTGACAGGTGAATTACAGATCTTTGGCTGCATGCAAGTTGGAACAGATTTATAATGTGCTAGGGTTTTTTTCTTGGTATTATGAAATGCTGGATTTTTTTTTTTTTCTTGGTACTATGAAGAAGAAAATGTCTGGTGTCAGCCTATTTGTGTACTTCAGGAAAATTCCATTAACACAGATAATCATAGTGTATCAGATGTAGTATAATGGTTTGAGAAATGTTTGGGAACACCTCAAATTTTATTAAAAATTGTCATAATGTTTTTAATTGATCTGTCTGAGAAAGCGTAAACAAGCTGGGATTTCTTCCGTTCAGCTGTATGAAATGATTTAGTGCCCCATAAAAATGTCCAGATTTTTTATAAAGAGTTCTGCCGGCCTAGGTCCAGGCAAGTCTGTATCATAAAGTTGCTAATGTCAGCTACTTTCATGCTCATTTTTGGCCTAACTTAATCCTGCAGGTAAGCAACAGATAGCTGCATTTCCGTGTGGGATATCTTTATAATAGTGAGGATGTGCATAAGGAAACAGCCTGTAACAAAGCAAAATTTAATTTACAATTCCAGGAATCTTCTTAATGTTTTAAGCTGTTGCTGTAATTGTGGGACAATGTTGTAATTTCTATTTGACTGTTATGTGAAAGTAGAATGGCTGAAATGTTTTTGTCTTATTTTCTATAGTCACATTGTCCTGATGCTGGCAGATGATATGGCATGTAATCCCAGGAATCCCAAACCAGCTACTGTGTTTAGTCATAAAAACATGGAGCTAAATGTCTATGGAGACGATGTGGAGGTGGATTACAGAAGCTATGAGGTGACTACACTTTAATTAAATCACTGGGTCTTTGTTTTTGGCCTGGGCTTTTATTATCAACTGATAGGTTAAAATGCACCCCACCCTCCTTGTTTTTTTTATTTGAAGTTTATTATACTAGAAACATCTTGTGTGTTAGTGGTTTTGAATAATGGAATCTCCACAGTTAAAATAATATATGGAACTCCTTGTGTGTGTTAGGAATACATGCATATTACTGAAATTTCTTTTTGGAAATGACTGTTTAGTCATCTTGCAAACAACACCACTGTGAAACTTTTGGTGTGCATCTGAAACACTTATTAGGGAGACTTACTTAAATTTCTAATCTTAAGCATATACTTCTATCAAAATAAAACAAAAGCCATAACCTAATAATTACTATACTTACTATATAGAAATCTGCATTCTATCACCTTTTCATTTTTGTGTAATATTCCTTCAAACAGACAGTGTCTTTACCAGTTGATCTCAGATTGGACGTCAGTTGTATGGTTTAATAGTGCTATATATTCATTACTAATGGTTTATAGGAACATATTTAAGTATATAGAGATGTTTTATTTCTCTGAAGATTTGTATAGAGAGATGAAGATACAACACTGAAATAGAGTTATGTTCTTTTTATCGTGGTTTTTCCTGAGTAGGGATTTGTTGTTAGCATTTGAGCTGTGTTTATCTGCATGAAGAAGAAGTGGTGTTTTATGTGATGTTTTTACAATCGCTATCCAGATGGGTCTTACCTGATCACTCAGACTTACATAACCAAAATTGATCTTTTTCTTTTCCTGAGTTGCAGACGGAATTTAAACTTTTATTTTTCCATGGTAACATACACTAATGTTGGAGCAGTTTGTGAGTACGTGAGCATCTTTGGCAGAGTAAAGCTGTACGCTGACAGGTTTTCAGATCAATGAAAACGTATTTAGAAATTATAATGGTGGTAGACTTACTGGATATAATAAAGCAACAGGCTGATGTTAATGGAATAAAGTAAAAGGTACCATATGATTGTGAACCTGCAGTAAAACTTTAAACAGAAAATGTCTGTTTATGCGGTTTATACCATGCAATATTATGTCTGGTTAGATAAGCTGCATATGTAAGTGTTCCATTAGTTAATTTATGTAACCCAGCCTAGAGCTGTTAATCGATACTTTTCTCTTTAGAAAATTGCTTTATGCTTCTATTCATAGGTCACTGTCGAAAATTTCTTGCGTGTATTAACGGGAAGAATCCCACCAAGCACACCACGATCTAAGCGTCTTCTTTCTGACGACAGGAGCAATATTCTGATATACATGACAGGTGATTACAGGTTTCTGTATACAGTTTATTGGTGTTTGTTGTTTAATTGGATGAGCCTATTTGAAAGCATGAAATTCCATCATGAGTCCAAACAAACAAAAGGATGAACAAAAGGATTTAAAAAATTTTTTTAGCATTTCATACTAATTAAGAAAAAACCTGTAGGGCAATAGTTAGCAAGTACAGTTTCCAGTTTAAATGACATATCTTTACTATTCTTACTGTATTAATATTTTCTTTTGCTGGAGTCTGTTTGGAAAAAGAATTGCGTTTGCCTTTTTTTAGAAAAATGGTAAACCGAGCTGAATATCTCCCTTTATACTACATGCTTGCCTAGCTTCTGATTTTTCTGTCAGGCCATGGTGGAAATGGTTTCCTGAAATTTCAAGATTCTGAAGAAATCACAAATGTAGAACTTGCTGATGCCTTTGAACAAATGTGGCAGAAAAGAAGGTAAGAAAAAACTGTTATTTAGAGGTTAAATACTGTATTTCATAAACAAGCCCAAAGTCTTACAGGTAGGCCTCGTTTACCTTCAACAGTGATACTATCTGTTGTCCATAAAATTGCATGGAAGTCTGCAGTCAGAAAGAAAAGTTTTAATTTTTGTTTTCAGTTTCCTGCAGTTACAGCTGCTCAAATGTATTGCTGTGACTAAACTCATATCTTACAGTCAATCAGTGTGAACATTTCTGTCCCTTAGGTTCCTAGCAGCTGTCCCGGTAACTAAAAAGCAGAAATAAGTATATGTTGTTTAAAGAGAGATGGATAAGGAGGCTCTTTTATTTCTTTCAGGTACAATGAATTATTGTTTATTATTGATACTTGTCAAGGAGCATCCATGTATGAACGATTTTATTCACCTAATATAATGGCCTTGGCTAGCAGCCAAGTAGGAGAAGATTCATTATCAGTAAGTAGATTTTTGTGATCCTGAAGACAATTTTCAGAACGCTTGAGTTAAAAGCACAGGTCCTGTTGACTTTTAACTAAAAATTTCTCTTCTAATTGCTGAATGTGTAAGATACTTAGTTATAAAACGTTGTTTTGACAAAATTTGTAAGTGTACTTTTCTTGCTTGTTTTTGTGCACTGGCCCAAAGAACCATGCTGATGATGGATTTCTGTGCTTGTTGGCCAATTTATACGTTGCCTAGGTTAGGAAGAAATTTTATGGGAAGATTGCTGAGAGACGTGTAGGGAATATTCAATCTAGGACTTCTTACACTTGATATGCAAAACAATAGCCATTACCTTTCAGCTGCTGTAATTATATCCCAGTTCAATTACAGAAGGAGTGATAGGGGAGGGATCCTAGCCACACCAAACTCAGCATGTCAGGGTTACCTGAACCTGTGCAGTGCTGTAAAATAAGCTGTCTCTTCCAGCCCTGTTTTCAAAGTCTGAAGAAGCTTGGGGCAGCCCACAATTCTGTACTGGACCATTAAGAAGGAGTTCCCTGCTTTTTGGCAGACATGTAGATTACCAGGATATAGTGTAGAAAAATGAAGATAAACTGTATTGTTCAGCTTGCCAACAGTATGTTTCTTCACAGCTAGTCATTTTCTTTGTGTAATTTGCCTAAGAACAAAAAGCCATTATGCTTAACTTTTGTAACATGCTATTACATTCTGTTCCCTCTCCTAAATACCAAGTCCAGTAACTGCTGTGTGTTGTTTTTAAGCATCAACCTGATCTTGCGATTGGCGTTCATCTTATGGACAGATACACATTCTATGTGCTAGAGTTTTTGGAAGAAATTCATCCAGCTAGTCAGACAAATATGAATGACCTAGTAAGTAGAATACTCAACGTTCATGAATATGCTAATGACTTTAACAGTTTCAAAACTAATTTATTTTGTCCGTAGGGTTCTCCAAATGCTTTCTGTTATCCTGCTGTTTCTCTCGGAAGCAACTTTGGACAGACGGTCTTTTTGCCATTATTGATAGCACTTCAAGGATTGTCCTCAGTGTGGAATTGGTTTGCTGGCTACAGAAAAAAAATTAACCAATTAGCCAATTTTTTTTTTTATTCACTGAAAAATGAATAAAGTACTAATTAAATCTTCATTTCAATAGAATGAAGTATTCACACATGAAAAATGATAGTAGGAAGCTGCTAAAATCAGCTTAATGGATAGCAGACACTGCACATGTGGAAAGGCAACCATTGATTCTGTTTTGCAAAGGTGATTAAACGGTTAGAATTCTAATTGTGCACTCACAGATGCCTGCAGAGACTAATTTCTCCGTATGTCTGCTTAGATTCCAGAGCAAAACAGGTCCAAATTCATCAATGTTTGAAGTTAGTTATATCTTAGGCAAATGTTAATTGTAGCTTTCAGATATGAGGCAGGAGGGGAAAAAACCACAACCATATAACCTATGACAAAATTTATAAAAATGCCTCTATAACAGTTAGATGTATACACTGGTGAGATGACATTAAAATTATTCATGTTTTATTTACTCTATTAACCCTTTATACTCGTTCCAATACCAGTTTCATTGTAGTAATATATTATGCTTTGGTGCCTTGTAGCTGTAAATCCTGACAGGCTGTGTCAGTGATCTGAGAGCCACTGCTTACAGAACACATTGTCTTTGATTCATTTCTGTGAAAGGAGCAGCTGCTGAGAAGTTTTATGCCACCCTCTGTCTACAGAGGATGGTGTTAGCCTGGCTGCTAGATGTGTAGTGGAATTCACTCTAAACAGCCCACACTTGACAGATTTTATGTTGATATAGAATTGATTCAGTGACTAAGATTCAAGATTCATTTACTACCATGGGAATGAAATTCTGTCCTGTAATCTAAAATCTTCTGATCATGACATACAGGTAACATTAAAATAAATCTTGCTAAAGAAGAATATGCAAATTCTTTATTGATTAAATATCTTCTAGCCAGTTCATTCAAACAGCACTTTAGAATTCTATTCTGTAAAGCAGAAAATGAATTTATGTTTAAAAAAAAAGTCATAAAAAATAAACAGTGGTTTCTACCAAATTAGATACCATCTGGGAAGTGGTATAACTGGTCTAGCCAGCTAGATATTAATCCAGTTGTTGGGAAAGTGTAGAAAACTTGTTAGCTAGCCAAGTAGTTTATCTTTTAAGCATTTTGTTTAGGTATCTTCTCCATTCTCCCTTGTGTTCTTGTTTTTGCTTATATGCCGAATACTCAGGAAGAGCTGTGGGACTATCCCATGCTGGTAAATTCCTTACATCATGTAAGTCATCATATGTCAATCTGCTTATTGCTGCTTTGGGAAGGGAAGAGGACGGACCCAAATATATAATGATTTGTGATGATCACGTACTGAGTCATAATATGCATGTATTTCAGCAAACATGACCTTTTGATTTCGAGCTGGTGCTTTTCAGGGCTTCATCTAAGAGTTCCAAAATGACATATGGTTAGTCCGTGGTAAGAATATAAGACCATTTATTTGCCAGCAGTTATAGGGGCTACTTTGGCACTGGAATGCACTGTTAGTGTTGTGCTGGTTTGAGAACAAAGAACTACTGCTCATCCAACTCTGTTTTTTTTTTTTTTAAAAATTAACACTTGCCAAACTCAGGATAACATATTAAGTGGCTTGCTAAGTAGTTTTAAAATTATTAACTAATGTTTAGTTGTTTGATCTTCTGATATGTTGTCTGCTTTTTTAGAAGTACTGTGCATTTGTTACACTGCTTCTATCCCCACACCCCTTTACTTTTCTCCAACCACTCTTAAAACAGCTTCTCTTCACATCCACCTAAGATTTGGCTATTGCATTCCTGCAAAGAATGAGACATCTTTTTTCATAATCCACTCCACCTACTCCCCACCTGCTCCATCTGTGTTGCTAAGGGATAGCATAAAGCTGTGCAAATGACTGGCTTTCGGTTTGATCATAATTCCAAAAAAGTAAAGACTAAATTGAAATGTCACACATGTGAACTTTTAAAACAAGATTCAAATAAATTTCAAAATGAGATCTCATTTGTCATAAAATAGCTAAAAATTTTGTTAAGAAAAGTCAAGATAACAAAGCTTCTGTTCTGGGGAATTGTTTAGCTCTTTGAATAGTATCTTATTTTAAAAAAATTGAAAAACTGACACATGAACAAATATGTTTCACTTAGCCTTTTTTTTGTCGGAAAACCTCAGTTATTAGTGTTAGTCTGCTGTGATGTAATTGCTTTGCAGCCCTTTTCTCACACTGGTAGTGGATAGGTAGATTTTTAATACTGAAGTTGTCTTCTTGGTGCCATTGCACGTTTTTGTTTATGATTCATCTAAACATGGTAGTGAGTTGTGGGACAGGTAAGAAATAGTTGGGTGCAGTATCAATTTCCCACAGTTTTTTTGGACATTTACACTCTTGAGAGATTGGAGGAGAGAATGGTATAACTGCAGTATAGCTTTACGCATTAAATGGCGGGATTAAAACAAATAGCTGTTATAATTTTACTTCAGAGACTTAGTTTTTAAATTTGTGGCCTTAGTTGGAGCAGAGCTGAGGAAAATTGGTTGCATTTTGGTGAAACTGAAACTTAAGAGGGTTTGTGCACACTGACAAGTGGCTTTGTATGGGCGGTGTGATGCTGATGAGTCTAGTTCATTTTCACTTCACAGAGAGGATAACAGAGATTTGTTCTGCTCCTGTCTTTCCTTTAGCAGCAGCCTAATGCCATATGCTTACAGGCTCAGACAAAAAAAAAGACAAGGTATGAAAGAGAAACTGTAATGGAGCAGAGGAGAGGAATAGGGAGATAGAATTTGTCCTCCGTGAAGAAAAGCCAGGTATATTGTTTTGTCTCTGAGAAGGTTTTTAAATATAGGGCTCTGTTGTCGTGAGAGGAGGGAGCCGCACAAGCCCATGTGTTTTCTGTTAGGCTGAGCGCAGTTTCTGCTAAAAGTATGGACTGAAACTCACAAGTCTTGTCAGTCATAATCTGAGATAATTGAGGTTGTATTTGCATTGAGCTAATTAGGACCTGTGATTTTGTCCTAAGAATGCAACCTTCTAAGAGCTGACCTGTGATGTAATTAGCGATGTGAGTGCTAGATCCAGTGACTGATGGACCTGTTTGTGAAAATCACTTGGAGAATTTAAGGTTAATGAAGATGAGCACCTATGTGAACAGTGTCCATCATAGTTCTGTACACTAATCTGTTCTGTTAAATGTTTTTTATTATTGGAACATACAGGGACTCACATCACTGTTACCAGGTGGTCTGCGCTTTGCCTATGAAATGCTTGAATGGACAGCAACATTTGCTCATAAAACTAGTTGTCCAGAGCACTGTTGAGCTACTGCCTCTGTCTAGCAGGAACATGTATCTAGCTCCTGTATCTAGTAGGGTTGTGTGTTTGGTTGTAATGATTGAAACATGAACTCAGCTTTCCAAACCAATCAAGGAGGCCAAAGAGAGTGAGGCCTTAGATTGCGTTTTATGGCACTTTAAGCTGTGTAGCATTAATAATAAAAATGCAAATAAATTGTAATGCACAAAATGTAAAATAATAAATAACAAGATCTCTCGAAATGAGGAATCTGTCCAGATGTGAAATTATAGACTTTTGTGGGGAGTGTGGTAGGACTTGTGCAAATGAGCATTGTTTCCAAAATACACTGGTTTTGCCTTGAATATCTGCTGGGTATGTAACAATTTTGTTATTTAATAGGCGTGCTGTCTTGTCCTGTATTCTAAATGTTGCAACAAATCGGCTGCTGTTATGTCTACATATTTTCTGCAAATGTACCTTTATACAGAACTGAATCCCTTGAAAACAGTTTTTTAGTGCTGTTCTTGTCTTCCGGGTATTGCAATGTGTGCTGGTTATAGTGGATCTGATACGTAGATAAAATATATAGGTAAAATAAACAATAAGGTGTGTAGCTAATTTGTAGGTTTTACAGGATGTCTCTGTGAACTAAATGTACATAAAACACCTTTGGTATTTGAAGATTCTAATTCTGCATTAATTTGCAGGCTATAAACTAGAAATAAGACTAAGAGATTTTTTCTTTCCAGTCAAAATGTAAATTCTTGCTTCTTTATGAAGCCTTTACTATTAGCTACTTATCACGGCTTGTTTAATCTTGCCTGCCTCCCTTTGGTAAATAAGAAGAATTTATTACCCACTTGTGCTTTTTGGAAGGTTATAGCAGTGTTGCTGCATATATATTCAGAAATACATTTGTGCATTTAATCAGTTAGATGTAACTGATAATTGGCTTTCACAGAAGCATTTCTAAATACAAATGGCATAATTGTCATGATAAAGATTTTCTGAAATGCATAATGAAAATGTTTATGCCTTTTTAATGTTTTTGTTCAGTCATTTTTTTCAGCTATGGAGCTTGTACTGAATGCAAGTAAGTTATGTGTGGCATTTATATTTCTTTTTATAGTGAATTCATTTTGGAAGGTGTATGTAGAGACTATTGATGAATGAAGGACAGGATATGATTGTTCATCTTGGTTTCCAGTTTCAGGTCTGTCCAAAAAGTTTGTGTGTTTCCACGCCTGGGCACCGAACTGATCTGTTTCAGCGAGACCCACAAAATGTTCTGATAACAGACTTCTTTGGCAGTGTGAGAAAAGTGGAAATTACGACAGAGACAGTTTCTTTGGACAGTGACTTAGCTGGTTTTGAAAGCAAGTAAGTAGTCATTATTTAGACTTGATTTGTATAGCTCTGTGCCACAGAAACAAAATGTAAGTCATGTAACTGTCAAGGAAAGAACAACTGTGATTTTCTGTCATTTCTGACAAAGAATCAGGGAGTTAGTATGGGTCTGCCACTAATGATAAAGTTGGGGTTTGTCACTTGAAAACTTGGTTTAAAAATACTCACACCTTTATTCAGTCTTGTAAATAAATAAATGACCAAGATGTGGATGTCATCAAAAAAAAAAAAAAAAAAAAAAAAAAAATCTAAAATTTTCTTTCTTCGTTAACATTTCTTTTTTAATGTGCAGAAACATTTTGTTCCTGTAAATTCCTGCTTGTAAGCTCTGAGTATAAACCATCAGTTAGTTGTTTCATAACAACTAGTTTTTTACGATACACTTTGTTTCTGTTCTGTGAATTCTCTGGCTTTTGACATTAACTGTTGTGAGAATTTCTGTTGCTCAGATGCAGCAATTCATTTTAATAAAATTGCTGGTGCAGGTTCATTGATAGAAGTTGTAACAGGGCTTTCATTACTTTGTGGATGAAGAAAGAATTATAAACGAGTTTGTATTTTTGGTATTCTGTTGCCACCTATTGGGAACATGTAAAGGAAGATGTGCTTGTACTGTAGAGTTTATTTAGCACTGTGCTTCCACTTCTGTTGCATCTTTTACGTTTGATGATACTGTCCTCTAGAACGAAAAAAAAAAGACATTGAAATAGTTTGCTGTACCAGGGATTAAATCTTTTTCAACCCATAAATTTATGTAAATTGTTGTCTACCTTCATTGATCTGAGGAACAGTAAACAAGAAGTTAGTGAATAGCAGTTTTGTTAATTTTAAAGTACTCAGGAGAGGTTTGAATATTAGGAAGCATTTCTTTACTGAGAGGGTGTTCAAACACTGAAACAGCCTTCCTAGACAACTCAATGCCTCAAGCCTGTCAGTGTTTAAGAGGCATTTGGACAATGCCCTCAACAACATGCTTTGACTTTTGGTTGGCCCTGAATTGGTCCGGCAGTTGAACTAGATGATCCCTGTAGGTCCCTTCCAACTGAAATAGTCTGTTCTATTCTAGAGGTAACAGTAATTCTGGTCCTCATAATTAAAAACATCCTACATGATTTAGTATATTTCATATTTTATTTTCATACTGTATTTTTATCTGTATCATGCGCATTAGTACTAACCATATATTTCTTAAACAAATTTTGTGACTCCTTAGTTTAGAATTGTATTTAGTGACACTAAATTTGTTTTTTCTCTGAAGAATAAAAAAGCTTTTTTGCAAATAACAGACATTTTGCCAGTCAAAAAGCATGATGAAAACTTACCTATGTGGGTTTCTAATTTGTGAACAATTAAAAGGTGAAATAGGTTTTGGACTACTTTACTGTTCTGAAACAGGAAATGACTGGGATTTTCAGCTTTATTTTTGAGTTGGTTTGGTGCCAATATATGAGGGTTTTTTAGGTGTCTGCTATTCAGCTGAATTGCACACATGGAAGCGATGTTGAGAAATGGGCACTCATGCGCAGAGAGGAATATTATCCTTGTGAAATGTTCTGATATTTAATGAAAGCTCTATTACATTATCATGGCAATTCCAGTTCACTTAAATCTGTGAAATTGGAAGAGATTGGAAGGAACATGCTGGTTTAATAGTTAAATAGTTTGTCTTTATCTTGGAAGGGTCTTTAGGAATGTGTATGCCTGGGAATGGAAGTACACAGCAGTAGCTCACAGAATACTGCCTCGTGTCTGTAAGGTGTATGACCATTTTTAAGCGGTCTTGTGTAAAATAGTAAGTTATTTATTGCACTACATTCAGATACAGTTTTCAAAAAAAGTATTTCAGCTTTCAGTTTCTTGTTACCACTTTGCAAGAGTTTACAGAGTGTGTTTTTAATGGAGAAGAAAGCATGGACCTTGTAGAAAAGTGCTGGAAAATTGTAGTATAGCTGTGTAGGTAGTGATGTGGAGTGCTTAATAAATACCCTACACAGAATTCTGAAGTCAGTACCTCTTGGGATGACAGAGATCTGTTTTGCTACAGCAAATCTAGGAATTATAGCTTGAAGTGAATTTATTAATTAAATATGTTAATGCTTTTAAAAATGCAGTTTTAGAGGGTCTGTTCTGCAAGAACTAGTTGTTGTTTTTTGTTTTTTTGTTTTTTAAATGTTATAAATATTACACACATCTATTTCTGAGGGTGTTAAGAAGTTAGAACACTTCACAAATTATGTGACCTTTGAATAGATACTACCTCAGTTGTCCCAAATGAATATAAGAATGAATCTTGAATGAAAGAATGTGAGTGTATATTTGTAACCTCCTCAGTATTAAGCCATTCTGTGCCTTTTGGAAATGTCATGGCTGTTGACACCCCAGATTGCATTCAAACAGCTAGGGAAAGACAGGGCTAGCACAGCCTAGTTTTCTTTTTGGTATCATTGGGAGAGATCTAAACCAAGCTTGTTAAAAATGAATAATCTTTCCTAATTAGTCGTGAATAATCTTGTTCATGTCTAATACTGTTTTAAAAGCCTTTGTGAAGAGGAAAAAAGTCATGTAGAATTGAACTTGTGCTCCTTAAGGGTTTGCAAGAAGTATTTACCAGGAAGTATCTGATAGATCACAAATGTATACCAGCAATACAAATTTTGATGTTTTACATTGGCTACTGAATGTGCAGATGTTTTTTATTCTGACAAAATCTATGCAGAATCTTAAGTCTTTTCCTTTTTTTCTATATTGCATTCCAGTTACACTTTTTCCCTAGCAGATAATTTGCAGAGGTTTTGTTGGTTTAATATTTGATACAGCCTCTTGACTTCATTCATTTATGAATCATTTCCTCTTTGTTTTCTTCTTTGCTCAGTATTAGCCTGATACCCTTTTCCTTTTCCTTCCACACACTGGTGGCAGTAGAATGCTACAGAATATTCATGTTACCAAGCTTAACCAGAAACTGAAATACAGACCTCAGCTCTGACACAGTCCAAAGTAGTCTGTGTTAGATCTGATTTGTTTTAAAGTTGCAAGTGTCATATGTGCAGATAAGGGCATTAAAAAACAAACTAACAAAATAGATAAATCATTGATTAAGCAGATAATGAGTAAAGAAGATGCCATCACGTCAGGTGTGAACAGGTATTGGGATCATACTGCTGGCAGACTGTTCAAGTTTTCATCTAACCCACTGCTGTGACTTTGCCAGATCTTTTCAATAGAAGTTTGTTCTTTGTTACACAATTGCTTAGCAATTACTTCCTAATACGGATCTACTCCCAAGCTCAGTGTGAGCTATAGCTGCGCAACCAGATCAGAACTGGCAGTTTCATGTTGAGCACAAGCCATGACATTTGATGAGTGAGGCCTTTGAAGTTTCCTTTGGCTTTGGCTGAGACTTGTACAAAGAACAACTACTAATTAACCAAAAGAAGAGGCTTTCTTTCTATCCACATAGTAGTAGGTGAATATTTGTCAGTAAAAGCTTTTAAAAAATAAAAGAAAAATCCTCTGCTGTTTCCTTTCTTCATAGCAGTTTCAATCTAAGCTATGTTCACTTCAAAGGGCTTGTTCTGCAGCTGCCGCAGGCCTGACTGGGTTTGTAGCTGCCAATTTTAGCAGAAAACCTGACAGTGTAGGGCTTCTGAGCCTTCAGCTGATAATATTTTGTCTAAATCCTCATGAAAGAGAAAAATGTAAACATTAAGGAGTAGAAGAAATCCTACACCTTTGGAGAAGGAGCCTTGCAGAGTTTAGTACATCTAATAAATTAGGAGAGTGTCTCTTAAACTTGGATTGTAACTCTACAGCCAGTTGGAACACTTTCTCGTTTTCAGCTCCTATCATGAGGAAAAGATGTGTATCAGCGAAAAGTGTTGGTAAAAATTGGGATGAATATTTCTCTTGAGGGTAGTAAGAAGTGAATTAAAGACAGTGTCATATGAAACCCTCCTAGTTTCATTGCTTTTGAGAATTGGGCTTCATATTTAATACTTCTCTTAAGAACTGTGGTACTACTGGCAGTGACTGTTTCCCTAAAAATAAATAAATTGGCCCTTGTGTTAGGAAGGATGCTTATGTAACAGGGAATAATTGTAATTGGTTCATTTGCAGTATGTTAATAGCCAATGTTCTCTCAATGGTTGGGTTGTTTTTTTTTTTGGTGTCTCTCTTCTGTCTCCCGTCTTTTCTTTTCCACCACTTATTTTCAATTTGATGTGCTTAATAAGTAAAGCTGTTGTTGTGCGTTCCGGAATCCATGGGGATACAGTTAGTGAAGCAATAGGTAATTTTTTTAGCAAGTAGAAGCTCTTCAGCTCAATGGGCTTTTCTTAAAATAAAAAAGGGTGGGTTTGTTCTGAGACCAAACTCATCTGTTCATTTTTTAACCAGATGCCTCAGATCTGTAATTCTCTAAGTTTTATAAATAATTTTTAGACTAATTCTGAAAGCTCTTGTTCTCTGAGAAATCCCAGTTCTCATTTGCATCCTGAGTTGCTGTTACATCAGTGATAAATTCACATCACTTGCCCTCCCCCTTTGTATTTTCCACCTATTCTTTACGCGGAGGCTGTGAAGGATAAACGTTGCTCGGCTACGAGCACGGCGGCGGCGGCGGCTCTGATC